TTTACAAATAATAAAAACATTCTGTGCTGAAATTGACAAACATTTTTAAATTCCAGAAGAATGGGGGAAAACCACAAAAAAACTTTCAATGTTTCCGATTGGTGTTTCCTTTCAGTTTGCCTTCAGTTGTGTCCTGACTTTCTGTCAGTATCCAGAAAGTAGAAAATAGTTGTAAAATGCTGAAGTTCATTTCAAGGCTTATGAACACTTTTTCATTGTTAATGTAAACTATTCATTTTAGATCTGTAGATTGGCATAGTTCACTTTGTTTTTCACTGGCTTCGCTCATGCTACATGAATGTACATGCTGGAGGGAATGTACTCCCTAATAAAATGTGGTTAAGTGTCTTCCATCATATCTCGGTAGCATATTCTGTTGTATCTTACTGTTTAGGCCAAAAGTGTCCTAATCTTAGTAGCTGGTAAGATTTCTAGGCTCTTTCTCTATGGAGACATCTGAACTTGTGGAACTTTGACAGGCTAAGATGTTTCTGCTTAAAGTCTCCTAATCTGTGGCAAAAGACATTTCAGCATTACATATTTTCAGTGTTTGCTGTGGTAGCCAGATGTTCTCATAAATGGCCTTGCATTGGCTCACAACACTCTCTAGATTTTGATGAGGATACTGAAGATTTATGACCTTGAAGTTGCATCTTCTCAACTGTGAAGTAGGATGCATCTGAAGGAGCACCTAGTGGTTCTGAAGAAACTACAGATGTTCTGTCTGTGAACAGCAAGACAGGAATGAGAAGAATGACTTCTCTGTTTTGAGGCTGGAGAGGCAAATTTTTTTTTTCATAAGTTGGGTAGCTCTGCAGCAGTCATTCTTCTAGAGTTTTCTCAGTGTATCTTAAGCAAAGTGATTCACGTTCTTTTAATTTATTCATCCTATCATCTTGGATGAAAATCCTGAATAAAAACGTCTCTGAGTTTTGAGGAAATTCAGGTCCTTGTTTAATCACACCTACTTCACAGCTGGATCTAGTTTCCATATCTGTTGAAAATTAGCGCCTCTGATATATATTCTTATAAAAGCATTCACCTTGATAGCATAATGCTATGTTCCTCTGTTGACTGCTGCATTGTTAGAGATAATGCACTGCCTTACAGATTTATCAAAATGATCAGCTATAATGTTGTCACTAAATGTATCTGTATCACTCAGTGTATGAGGCTGTAGCACGGCTTAAGTAAATCTCACTTTGTGTTCTGCAGTATCAGTTTTAAAAGTTAGTTTGAGTTATATTACAAAACACTCAATTGTCTAGGTTTTTAATTTGATTCTTGTGAACAGTAAATTATGTTTCTATTTGAAAGGAAAGTCAGGGAGGATTTGCTTTGTTATTTTTTCTCTTTCTCCTTGAAAAACATCTAAGAGTTTGTGGTGCATTTTTTGGCAGAGTCCACCATCAATAATACTACCATGTTAAGGGTTTGGCACAACTTTACTTTCTGGTTTGTGGCCATCTCCTCGACAAGGTTACAGAAATTCCAACAGGTAATGGGTAGTGCAATTTTCAGAGCAGGTCTTAGCCAGTTCCTTTAGTCTTTGCTTCCAGTGAAGGGCACTCATTTAACTTACCTCTCCATGCCTCTCTTCCCTGTGATCTCTTTACAGTTAACATGAGGCAGATAAGCCACTCAGAATTTCAATTTGCCTGAAAAGAATGTTGACATTTCTTGCAATATTTGTTTTTTGTTCACCTCAAATGTTTCTTCATTTTTTATCTTGTTTTGTGGTGTATAGTGCTTAAGTCACTGGGAATGAATCCCCACACAGCAGCCAGACTGTGAAGGAGGAGAACGAGGTGGCACCAGCGGGACTAGAGATCTGGGTTTTGTTTCTATACTGCTGACATTTTTCTCAGTGAACTCTTCCTTCTCCCATCCATAAGAATAGAGTGGGCAAGATTTCCATCACTGAAAAACATTTTAGGATGCAAAGATTGAAATTCTAAATAAAATATTTTAATTGGACATCTGTTTAAACCTAAAAAAGAAGCACTACCTGCACTGTGATGTACCAACGTGATATTTCAAGGAATGGAATGAAGGGGAAGCACCAGCTGTGTGTGTGGGATCGCTGTGGGCAGTGGCAGGCTGCTGGACACCCCACAGGTTGTGTCTCCATGCTGCCTCTGCTGCACCCTGACCTGGTGAGGAAGACATGCAGGAAGGTGAACACCTACAGCACTCCTTGCATGGAGTATGATTTTCATCAAGGCCAGTGCTCCACTGGCTGTTTTAGATTGGGATGGGAGGAGCTCCTCAGAAGAAGGAACCTACTTCCACTACCACTGCTAGGACTGACCAAAAAGGGGTGTATGTGTGTAAATGTTTTCCCTAAATGCTCCATTTTGCTGAACAACAAGAGCCAAATTCATTTTGCTTCAAAACTTTGCTGGATTTTGTGGGTTTGCTTTCAAGAGGAAAGGGTGTGTTTGGGTGGGGTTTTGTTTAATTTTTCAGTTTTTTTGAAAAGCACTATACAACCAAGTCCTGCCATTTGTGAAGTAGTTTGATGCTGAAAATAACCAATCAGCATGGATTAGTCGTGTTGAGTCACTAATGAGGAACAATGTACACCATTGTGTGTGTCTAGGCTGAGCCCAGACTGAAAGACCTTTTCAAGCCCTGGTCTTGATGACACGCTCTGAAATCAGTAGATAGGCCATTTGTGTAATTAGACCTCAAGATAGCCAGTGAAGAAACCAAGAAAGTCGTGCGAAGGAGCTGGCTCACAGCTATGGCAGAGCCTGGTGTCAGGATGGGGAGTAGGACAAAGTGGAGCTGTGACTGAGCCCTTCTGCCTTCAAACAACTCCCCCCTTTCCCCAGTACCTCCCAGACCAGCAGCTCACAGCTCACAGCCACTTATTTTCTGAAGGGGCCACAATGTCTCTACAGACTCGAAGCTAAACCACATTTCATGCCTTCTGGTTGGGAATGCCCCTTGTCAACAATGGGTCGTTGTCACAGTCTAGACAATGCTGGTGTCATGATGAGAAACAAGCGCCTTGCTATGTATGCCATGGTGTATGCCATTGACAAAAAGCACTTGGTTTATTCCAGTAAAGCTCTGATTCAAGGGGTATTGCAGAAATGACTATTCCACATAAAAAGTAATATATATATGGGCTGTTCTGCTTTTGAAAACTTACACATTTTTTTCCTCTATTAAATTGCTTCCTGGTGATGGAAATGTCTGGGATTTTATTTTTTTTTTTTCTTCTGCATCTACTTTCCTTTAGCTTGCACACCCCTGAGGTAATTAGTGTAGGTTAAAATTTACATAACTGACTTTGGGGTTTTGCAAATAAGAAAGATGGAAATTTATTCAAGGTGGTGAATAATTCATTTTAAAGCAAGTTTCCTGTTTTTTTAATCATGTAGAAGATGTATTACAGACTCATAGAGGTTTTCTGAATAGGACCTTAAGCACTGAATTTTTGATATATTTTTTTTTCTTAGTATAGGTAAAGAAATATTAACCATGACTCATTGCACTTTTCCTGTTCAATAAGATTTGAATAAACTTAACAAATTTATTAGGTAGATGATAGAGCTTTTTAAAAATTATCATGACACACTGTGACAAATGTTTTACTAGGATCCAGAAGAAATAGTTTTAAATCATATTCCCATTGCCACTTCAGAGGCAGAGATGGAAAACAGTGCAGTTCATACAGAGAAGCCTGATTCATATTTTCTTTTGAATATTCATTATTTAATTAAGATTAGGAAGATAAACAAGGGGATTGGACAGCTGTGGGAGTCTGGTAATAAAATAATTTTTTTTTAAAGAAAACTTCTTTACTGCTGGCTCAGTGTAAACCTGGAGTGGTAATGTCTGAATGTTGTTACAATGTTATGGCTACTTGATATTTTACATGAAGTGAGTTTACTAGTTCATCTTATTTCTTAATCTAAGTGCTTACCTCAAAAATAGCTTTCACAGACATCACCAAGGGCTGTGTCCAGAAGAAAAGATGCGAACCAAACACTGCTCCAACTTTCTAAACTTTAGCTTTAACTGCCTAAAACTTGAAAGCTCTTGACATGTTCCCTGGTGACTGCAGCCCATTGGGGTTTGGGAGGGGTCACAAGGTGGCTCTGACAGCCCTGACCTGACAGCTACCAGCTCTGCTGATGGAGCAGAACTCCCAGCCCTTCCTGGGGAGGTGGTGTAAGTGGTGATTTACCAGCCTGGGGAAAGCAAATCAGTGCCAGTAGGGGTGGGAGAGAAATGGGTCCTGCTCTAGGGAGTCCTAGTAAATTTTAACCAAAAGCTGTCCAGGAGCAGGAGGGCTTGGTTCTCACCAGTGGAGGGGCAGTGGTGGAGGAAGCGTTGCCCATGACACAACTGCGATATGGAAAACTGGAAGGTCTCATTTTGAGCTAGTTCAGTCATGCCACCTTTGCATTTGTTTATGTGTGACGCTTGACCTGGAGGATTTATTGCATCTATATCGTCTGAGGATAGCTGCTGGGACTGCCAACAAATCACACCGATCTTTAAGCCAACCATGCTGTCTCTGCTTTAATTTTACAGGGTTAACAAAGTAACTTTAAAGGTTACATACACAGGCTTTTGTTGCTTTCGTCTGTTTTCAGTTACATACACAGGCTTTTGTTGCTTTCGTCTGTTTTCACACTCTGACAGTTTTGATTTGGTCATGTAATAATAATTATTACTGTAGGACACTACCATGTACATATATACATTGTACCAAAAGCTCTTAAAACAAGATGAGAACTCAGTTTCTCTTGGAAATAATGGAGTAAACATGGAAAACACAAAGAAAAAAAAAAAAAGTTATGGAAAAGAGGTAATAAAGTAATGGTGGCTGAAATTCCTTATTACTTCTGAAAAGCTTCAACCAGAAGACCTAAGGCAAAACTTTGGAAAATTGCACATTTATGGCTTTTATTTCCATGTTATTTTTGTACACTTGGAAATAAATTCTGATTTTTCTTTCTCTTGGCATGTGGGACTCAAAGCACAAGGGAGCTTCTCACCACAAGAAACAAAAGTGGAGAGACAGGATTTATGAACTCTTTCAAAGGTATGTCAGATAAGGGCTACTTTGTAATTCCATCTAGTGTACTTTCCTTCTAAAGATCTTTCAGTTCTTTACAGATATTAATGAATAGAACTCCTCCTAAGCAAAGGACTTCTGGCCTAGAAAAATTAAGCCTGTGCATTTCAAAGAGGTCTCTGTTTTGGATTACTCTGTTTTCAGATATCCAGCTTGGACTGTAGTTTTTAAGTGCTACACACAGTGCACTTCAAATGGTTTCTCCCAGCATCCTTCATCCTTCCCTCTGAATTAGTCTTAGGGAGTGAAGGAAATAGGAATTGGGGAAAAGTTTTTGTGATTAATGACCTTCAGATAAATGCATATGTCAAAATACCTGTAAAGAAATGAACAGACAAAATAAATAACCCTCATGAACAGAGCAAAGGAAGCTTTGCTGTGACAGCAGATGAGCATGCTGCTAAGAGGCATAACTTCACTGAATAAATTATTGTCTTCAATCTAATATCCAGTGAAAGGAGAAAAATGGTGCAACTGGGAAAGAGATCAAATGTAGTTATTTAAATGTTTGATGTTCAGTAATGAAAACTGTTTACCTTCATAATTGTGTATTAGCAGCTAATAAAGGCAATAGATACAGTAGTTTAAAAGTAATAAAATCAACAACAAAGTGTATTTAATTTTAAATTGAATTGCAGGCAAATGGGCATCCTAATGAACCCCTGTGTCAATGCAAGTCTAACCAAATTAAGTGAAATAATTTCCATCAGGAGAAGCTAAGTACAAAGTTCCAAACAACTTATCTCCTTGAGAAAAATGCTTTAACTTCTCAGATGTTTCAGATCAATGAATTAGTTAGAGCCATTTAAGAATCATCCGTTTTTATACTTCTGTTTAGGATGGTAGACCCAAGTTGATGTGATTAAAGCTCAGGGATAAAACTTCAAAGATGATTGACCCTGTGCTTCATGTATTCACTTCTTAGCACTTGAATCTTGTGCTTATTTCTCATCTGTCCTGGTTTGAGCAAAATTTCTATGTAGTTGTTCATTGCCACTAACATCCACCTAGACCTTCCAGCTGATTCAATTATTGCTTAGGAATTTATGTGATACAATTCTACTGTAGAGGAATCTGGAAAACAGTTTAGCTATAAGGCAGTGGTAATTTTACTGATGAAAATATGCACATATTCAAAACAAAAGAAATAGGCAATGTCTGAACAGAAACTGTTTTGTTAGCAATGTCCTACAATCTTGGGTGCAGGAGCATTTTTTTCAGAAGAGGGGAATCTGAACTGTATGTACTTAAGCAGTAAGTATGCATGAGCCTGGGATATTTAGCATGACTGCAGAGGCTCTGTAATTTTCTTAATAAAGAACCATGTTAATCTTTACAAATGTGGAGATATCTCATATAATCACCTAGCATGCAAAGGAGGAAAATGGGAATGATGGCACTGGTATTGAATTTTTCAAAAGCTTGTCAGAAAATACTGAAGGAATGCTTCAGAAATGAAGTCCAGATAAATGTCATTGGTTTTAAGTCTTGATTCTTCCCTTTCTCTTTGTTTTTTTTTTTTCGTTTTTCTTTTTCTTTTTTTTTTTTAATGAACAGCAAGTGGTTGCATTTTCTTTTGTGGCTAAAGACTTAACTGAGTGCATTGCTTGGCAGCCTAAGACAGCCTATTCTCTGATGCCTGTCTTGTGGACACCCAAGTCAACCCTGCACTGCAAGTGTACCTGATGCAGTGGGTTTTCCTTGGCTCACCTCTCAGGAAGCTGCAGGGAGTTCCCTTGACTTCCTACATGGCTCTGGGTTGGCCCTGAGCCATGAACAGCCTGCTCAGCCTCCACCTTCTGAGAACCACCGTGTGTTTATCTGTGCCTGTCCTGGCTCCACCTGCAAGTGTGGCTGGAGCATCACCAGCACTGGTGTGACTGACTGCCCCTGGTCTGCTAAAGCACGCTGTGGAAGCAAGAGCTGACGTGTTTCAGAGCCAGCAGAGCATCTACAGATGTTTTTACTTAGGATCAATAATATTTAGATGCTGATGACACTTAGGAACAGAGGAATTACTCATGGTTCTGTGCCTGTTGAAAGATGGGATGAGATTGCCAAAGCATGCAGCTTTATAGTACTCATTGTAAATGACTTAGTTTTGCATTTGCTCCTGCTGTGTTCTAGGAATGAGGTTTTCTCCATAGGGTACTGTGCCTTTTGTGTATCCTGTGCACTAAGGACAGCATGGGGTTATCCAGTGTTGGGCTATTCTTGCACTACTTGCTGGTATTCTGTTTTGCTGTAGTGACCTTTCTCCAAAAACAAAAACCCAACAACTTTGAGTTGATATAATTACTCCCCAAATAACTTTAAATATGAAAGAAGTTAACATGTGAATAACAAGGAAGGTTATGTGATTCACATACAGCTGAAAATTTGTTTATGTGCATGGAAATAATTTATATATGTAGCTCTTATCCTGTATGTATTTTGAAGATTTATAAATTATCTAAGATTTACATAAAAAATGACAAGATTTTTTTTTTAAAAAAAAACAACACAGCAAAAAGGTAAGATTTATTTAAACAGAATTAAATTTTTATTTGTTCAAAGCAACCTAGGCCCCAAAGAATCAGCGTTTTCCAAAAACCTGCCCAAGTTTATTGAAGATGTCAGTCAATTCTCAAGGTGATGACAGAGGCAATGACTTCCTACTGAAATACTCTTAACCTAGAACATAAGCCACAGTGCTAGACAGAGCTGATTACAGACAGGCAGTGAAAGCTGGGGTTCCTTATGTCTTCCTGTGGCACAGGCTGACAAATTCTGGTCTTGTTATTTTTTTTTTTTTAATGCTGCTTTTTGAATCCTAGCTATTTCTCTGCTTTAGCACACTCTCATTTCTCTGGGGTGCCCTGCAAGTCTTATGATATGTTCAAGGAAAACATCAAACTGTTCTATTTCCAACAGTGAGTGCTTTCTGTGTATGCATTATAGTTTGTTTCTTTTCCATTCTTCTTCCCATTCTAACCTCTGCAGAGTGGGAAGTCAGCTACTGAAAACAGAGGAGAATGGAATTGAAGAAGAAATGGCAGTCAGCTTTGGTAACCTTGCAGATGTGAATGCTGGATTGAATGGAGCAGCAGGACCTTGTGGAAAGGTGAGATTCTCCATGAGTGTGCTTTTCCCTGATATGAACTGCCAAATCACTGGATCAATTGCATCCCATTATATTTTTTTCCTGTTTTGTTTTTTTCTCTTTTCTTAGTTTAAGAGGATAGAATTTATCAGGTTTCAAAATATGCTTTCCAGCAAAACTAACCATAAGCTTAAAGAGAATGTCTAAAGCTATTAATGATGAATCATTTGGGCATGGCAAGAGTTCTTCAAAACAGTTTGTCAGTGCTGGCCAAGCAAAGTCTTTCAGCAGGAGACGAGACAGCTATGCCACCATGCAAATGAGACAGGCTTGAAATATGATGAATCTTCTATCTCCTTTTCCTACTCGACTGACACTCGCTTTGAGGAAGGTTGTAAATGCAAGAGAGATTGTGGTATAATTCCTCAGACTGGCGTTTCTGCCCCCCAGTCACTATTCGATTATCTTCCAAATTGCTGTGTTTCAGAGAGATAAAGATTTTTTATGGCTTGCTGACTTGAAACAACCAGAAGAGCCAGAAAAGAGATGGCTAACCGGCCATGCATAGTAATTCCATTGGTAAATGACAAAATCTTTGTTTGTATGACATTTCCAAAGTTACTACGGAAGATGAATCTAAAATACAAAATGTCACATTTGGCATGCAAAACTATCACAATATATTTCAGTATAAAATTCATAGAGGCGTTTAATTTAGAATGTGTTTAATAACGAAGGCTGCCTGCATCAGTAATCCTGCCTTGAGGTTTAAAAAGATTGTCTTATTTATTCATATAATGTTAATTTTTTTATATATGATTCAGAAACCAAAAATATTAAGGTTAAATCTTCATTGTTAATTAAGATTTTCTAATTAAGCTGAATATAATTGTCATTCAGATTAGTTGTTAAGTATGGTTTGTGTTGAGGAACAAAAGAAGTTTAACAAATTCAACTGTTTATTTAACTGCTTAATTTAATTCCAGAAGCTTTCTATCTATATGGAAATATGCTATCTCTTCCAAAATAAATCCAAGACAGGATTAAAGAAGAGATTATTAGCTACTGTAGGCTTAAACTGTGAGACCACTAAACCTAGTAGTCAAGGTAGCCATGTGATTCCTAAGTGTGGCATGAGTTCTGATATCCAGTTGCATTAAAAGAAGACCTAGCAGTAGTCTGTTCTCAAAATAATGCAAGAAATTGATTTCTTGGGGAAAAGAGAAACAACACTGCTGATTTTAAGTGCTACATAATTAGTTATGGCAGAAACAGTTTTATCCATTCAAATCAACACTTGAGCCTGACTGGGACGTCCTGTTGTGTGCCTGACCCTGCAGATTGTGTTTGGGCAGCACCAAAATATCTTTTGATGCAGTGAGACAGACCCTACACCATAATTCAGACAAAGTTGGGTAAAGATCATGCCATTGTGCCTGTTCCCCTCCAAAAACCTCCACTCTGGGAAGCTGTGAATACAAGGAAAGCACCAGAAAAGCATTTCTGGTATGCAGCATTTATTCCATGCTAAATATTCTGTAACTCAGACAACATCTTGTCAACAGCAAGTGGCAGATGTTTCCTTTTGTCTGGACTTGGAATAAAGGTGCCTGCAGGGAATTTTTATTAAACTCTACACGTATTGCACTTTGATTACTATTTTTAAGAGAATCTGATTATGATAATCAGAAGGTGAAAGGATAGTCTGCATGTTACACAGCACTAATAGCTTTGGCAAGGCTAATAACTAGTATGAAAACATGGCCTGCCCTGTCTTTCACTCTGTGCCTGCAGCCTGCTCATCACATTGTGTACTGTGCCTGTCTTGAAAAGCATGCTGTATTTTTGAAGGTATTGTTTTCTAGTTAATTCTGCCTCATTATTGTAGGGTAGTGTCTTCTGGTGTCATGCTTCACCAGCTCCACCTTCCCCCCAAGGATGCTGAACATTTTATTAGTAGTAGTTGTATTGGTTTTTCTTTTATCTGTCATCTCTATGACTTTTGACCTCCCTAATTGCAGATCCTTGGTAAGCAGTAGGTAATTGCAGGTTGAACAAGAAGCATGTTGTCTGCTTTTCAGTAGTTATTTTCTGGAAGAAATTTGTCCTTGCTAATTGTATGGCTAAAGTCAGCCCAGCCCAGATCAGTAACTCTGAGCCTTCTCCCTAGGTTGACTGCTCCAAGATGCCACAGCCACTAGAAATCCACCTCAGATGCCTGAGGGGAGTCAAAGATAAGGTCCCTAAAGGCCTCTACACTCTCAAAGTTTCTGTTCTCAGCTGCTTGGGTGGTGCCTTGGTGGAGTGGCCTGAACCGGAGGAGCAGCCTCAGGCCAGGACGACGCAGCCTGTTAGTCATGGTGGAAACTTCTACAACACTGAAATCTACTTTGGACAGAGTATCCAGACAGTAAGCAACACTTCATAAATATGCTGTCTTTGCTTTGAAAGTTAAAACACATCCGCCCTTTCTCCTTTAGGCTTATATATTTAATGCATTCCATCATGTTAATAATTTATTTAATAATTTAAGGTGCAATTTAGGAAGGTGAAATTTTTTTCCCCCTAGGTTAACCCTCATCACTCACTTTAAAGGTGCAAAACATACAGTACATCATATAGTGTTGTCAGCTAATTTTAAATTTTACTTTTATTCTCTCTTATCTATGCAGCTTGTCAGCTATGTAATTTGATTTCTGTAAAGTAGCTTTAGAATAATAAATGAACGAGTGGGTGTGTATAAACACATGAATGCCCAAATCCTTCTGTGAGTTTTTAGCTCCATTGACCCCCATTTGCCAAAAAAGCGGCATTTGGATTATTTTGGAAGGAGCCCAAACACTTGAGGCTCTATTCTGTCTTTTGCTACTGAGGCACACATATTTTCCTGTCTAAGCATGCTGTGCATGGCAGGATTGTTGTGTGTCAGTTGCTCACTGTTGTAGCTAATGCCTAGTGCTGGTTGGAACATTGGTCTCAGATAAACTCTCTGGCACATGAAAGCTTCTTTACAGTTTGAAAAACAGTCTTCATCTCTCTCTCTCAGTGTGTGTGGGTTGTTTTGCTTTTTTTTTTTTTTTTTTGTGCATGTTATGAGGCATTGGTAGAATGAGGAGTCTTTTCCGTTTTCAGCCATTTATTTTCTGGTATGACCTGAATGGCAGATTTCTTCCTCCACATGTTCTGTTGTGTAGATACAGAACAGACAGCCCTTATCCCAAAGAGATTTCAGATAAAGCAACTTTTATGTGTGGCACTGATGCCTTCAGTTACTCACAGATAGATCATGGCAGATACTGGGTTTGTTATACATAAAGTGCTGCTAAGTCACATTTTCTGCTTTTTAATTGTTTATCACCTGTAATAGATAATGAACAGTGTCTGTAAATACACCTAATACAGTTATCATTGCAAAAAGAATTGCATGTATAGAGAGGGAAACTGGGAGTGGACTTTCACATGATGCTAAAATAAATCCATGCATATGTCAGAGAAATTACTGAGCTGTGATTCCTTCCTAGGCAGGATGCACCCATTTGGGTTACTTGCCTTGAAGGATTGTCTTGAAAGGAGAAGGCTGGGCACTAGGACTGAATGTCTAGCATGTCCTTCTTTTAGTATCACATTTCTTCTAGGTCTTTGCAGGTTTTGCACTTTAAAACTTGATTAAAAGTTCTCTTGGAGCTTCACAAGGGACATTTAACTAGCATCTTCACCAAACTTCACATTTAGTCTAGTGAACTGGGGTGCAGGAATTGGGCAACTTCCCTTAAAATACAGGAACAGGAGAAGTTGGATTCAACGACCTTCCGGTAATTCCACAAGACTTAGGGTTAGTAGTGAGGTTTTTGTGGTGAGCTTCATGTGAGCATCTGGGTTTAAACAGAATCTTACACACAGCACTGCTGCCCTGGGATATATTACGGTGTGAGAAATAGAAGTGCTCACAAATGAAGAATATGCTTTTGTTTCCACTGGCCAGAATAATAATAGGAGTTCAGTGTAAACATGGTGAAAATGAAGACATGCATGCTTGATATTGAAGGAAAGCCTAATTTTAACTAATATATTAGAGAAATTGTTCCAGAACACTACATCCTTCCAAAAATAATAACCCTGTCATGTCGGCAAAGTTGGTGTCAGCGCGGGTTACCTGCTGCGTACAGAAAGTGCTGGTCATGTAAGTTAGATCTGCCTCAGGGCTAGTCTGACTTGCACACCCGACCTTTCAAAAATGTTTTTTGTTCATTAATCAATGTTCTTTGCTCCAGCTTGCCAGCCTCCCCTCCTTCCGCTCCTTCATTGTCCTCCTTTTTAGTTTGTCAACCTACCTCCCCCAGTAACCTCTGACTACATATTAGACAGAGGCTCCTAATAGCTCCAGTTGAATTTTATTTATCCTTCAGTAAGGCCAGACAGTCACACAAGTCATTTATTTTCCTTAAGTTATGCTGAAAGAAACATGTATGAATACTTTGGATTGTGGTAAAACACGACTGCTGTTTCAAATGCCTTTTTTTACAGTTTTTCGCATAGCAACGAACTGCATGATCTGAAGGGGACTTCTTTTAGATTCAGCATTTCTAGGATATTTTCATGTATTTAATTTATGCAAGTGGGTTTTAGGCTTTGGTAGATTAAGTCTGTATGGTTTAGGCAAAGTGAGAGCTATTCTGAAGTTTCACCTGCATTATAACACAAACTCAGTGTGAATTTGAGATTAAAAAATTGTGGTATAGGTTAACTGGTGGTGAAAAAGCTTTGTTCCTAAAATCCTGATATAGTTTTGCACTGCCAGGTCTTTCTCAGATTTGGAATGTAAGCTGAGTAAGGAGAGGATAGGAAAGGAGGTGAGATGATGCTTACTATGCATAGTTGCTGTTATGCAACTAGGTTGTCCTTGGCAGCACTTGTATAGATGTGACTGCATCATCTTTACACTAGAACAAGGATTTTACAAGTGTAGCTTCCTTATTGCTGTCTCATGGTGGCTAAGATCCTACTACAGATGTGACCTAAGTAGTCAGTAAATATTTTTTGATCATGATGTATTTAAAGCAGCATTTAACTCCACAGGATTATGTCCAGTGTTAGCAAGTCCAGATCATATTTTTCACTGTAACGATGGCTTGAAGAGCATAAATGAGTTGCAGTATGCAAAAGTTTAGTTTCACTCAGAAAAAGAAAGTGCTTGGGTGGTTTTTTTGGGTTTTTTTTTCCTTTTTTTTTTTTCTTTTTTGTTCCTGCCTGGCTTTTCTTAAGTTCAGTAGACATTAAAAAAATTGTATTAAACAATTACAGCAACAAGAACAAACCTTCACTTCCAGTCTTCAACCAAAATGTTCATTGGTTTCAATGGAATAAAAGCTGGAGTGTGGTAAAAAGACTTCTTTTAAAAAACTATTTTCAGCTATAATTTCAATCATCAGGACCAAAATATTTTGTTGAAAATTGCCATGTTTGCCTATAAGGAAACATATTCCTTAGGGAATATGTTCCTATTTCAATTATTTGCAATTTCTGAAACACCTTTCTAGAAAAAAAATATTGCCTATTAAGAGGAATTTTTATTCAGAATGGGAGATTCAGATAGGAAATTTTCAGCTGTTGTGAAGGGCGCTACAAGCCAATGACGCTGCCTGCAAGTGACATTTAAAAAACATTCATTATGCTGTCCAGTCACCTGGGAAGTCAGTCCAGCACTGCTGAACAGAAACAGGGACAATTGTGTCAGGACTGATCTCCCCAAACTGGTTTTTAACCCCGGTCTCACTGCATCCATTTGTCATCAATCCTTTTTCTGTGAGAGCCTTTCAAAACTGGTCCTTCAGCAAAAGAGGTGTGAGCTCCACAAGTGTGGAAGCACTGGTGCTCCACACATTTTCCCCAACTTACCTGGAACTTGGGACAGTACTGAATCTGTTCATATGTATGAAAAGATACCACTGCTGACAGAACAGTTCACAGAACTTGGGGATTTTTAAAGAGTATATCAACTGGTTAATATTTATGTATCAGCGTGGCGAGGTACTAGCAATGTTATAACAGTAGCTGGGTACCATTTTGTTTTACTTGAGGGAAATTCAATATGAATAAAACAGCAACTTTTCAAACATGACATTTAATCCACTCATGTAAATCATACCAGGAGATCTATTATTCATTATTAAAAGGGCACCATATTTTTATTATACTGAAAATGAAACACAAATGCTGTGAAAAATTTAGTGCCTTTTCCTGAAGTTTCAGGACACTTATCATGCAGTCATCTAGCAGGGGCTGACACTCATTTTAAAATATAGCTACAAAATTAATAAATTTGAACTCTTTTGCTTGGAACAAGAGGATGTTCTATTTCACTGAATGAAGGATTTATTATTTATTTAAGCCTTCCTAAATACTTCAGATAGCAAAGTACTTTGATAATGTTCACGTTTGGAGTCAGATATGTAACGAATAAAGTTCATATCTTTGTTGTTATTAGTCATTTCCAGCCTTTTCTTCCCTGCAGTGCATTTTGAAAACTACATATATCAGAAACTGATTAACATGACCTAAGGTATTAATTCTTAATATATGATGAAACAAACAGTTTCAAGGACATTATTTTCTGTATGTCAGCAGCTGTCTAAGGAATGTGATGCTTTTAATAATTACAAAACAAGGTATCATTAGGAAAAGTAGACCACAAACTTCCCTCTCCCCCTTCCTCCTCCCCTCCTGGTTTATTTAATTTTTGAGTGGAATTCTGGCATAAGCAAAGAACATCTAGCTTTAGGACACTTTATAGGACATAACATAAGAATTTGATGCAATATGAAAAAAGATAGTTCTTGGCAGTGCCAGAGGACTTTCAAAATGAGAGCCACTTAAATTTTCTCTGGATGCAATTATTTGTAGTTGTGATGAAAAGGTGCTATGTGAACTTTTTGGTAAATTCAAGAACTAAGCTTATACAGACACTTGTATTTATTTGAAGACTGCATTTCTGATTTTTTTTTTCAAAGAGAAGGAACTCATACTTTTTACTGCTTTTATTTTGTTTATCTGAGTTTGTTTGGGGGTCTGGTCTTTGCCATTTGCTAGATATCTCTGCAACAACTCCTCAAAATGCACATTCTCAGAACAATTCTTACATACTAGAATCTATTGTGTCTACTTTATTCAGCACTGTGCAATTCATTTGCATATCAAAAAGGTTATTACTTATCTCAAGCTTTGTATTTTTGGTGATTAATTTGAGTTACTTTTCACATATTGTCTGGTCATTGTGCTCCTGTGGAGGTTGTTCTTTGGAAACACCTGCTGGAATGCAGTGTGGATGCTGGATCACCTTAAAGCAATGCATGCTGCCCAAAAACCTCAGAAATGTGACCTATGTTATAATGCCTCGTATCTGAACTAGAGGAA